GTCGGGGAGGGGACCAGCAGGTCAGGCCCCGGTGGATGCTCTGCTGCTGCCGCGCTGACAGGCTGCGTTCGGAAGCAGGGCCCGGTTTCACTCTGCGCTGGGCCCTGCACATCACACGCCGGTTCCGGTCCCCCACCCCCGACAGCTCCCTGGGGGGCCGGGAGCAGGGCCAGGTGCAATGCAGGCTGTGGGTCCAGACCTGCCTCTGGGCCGTCACGCAGATGCGTCGTGGCCTTGACTGCGGGGTCTGGGCTTCTCGGTGCCTCGGGTGGGGCTGGGGTCAGGGAGCAGCGGGCACTGTCGCTGTGGCTGCCCGCACGCCTCGCTGGGCTCGCGCTGGGAAGCACGCATTGTGCTTCTTTATTAAAACGCTTCATCAGGGGAAAATGCACACCCACGAAGGAGGCGGAGGACGCGGTCCCGGGCGGCTGGATGCTTCCTCAGGCTCAGGCTGGCAGCTCTGCGGGGCCTCCTCTCTGCCTCAGTTTCCCCGTGGTGCTCGGTCCGTGGAAGGCCCAGGGCCCAATGTTCCGGAGCAACGGTCGCTGGGAAGGCGCCCGCAGACCTAGCGTAGCCCAGGCCTCGTGTCACGGCTTTGCCCCCAGCAGCCCAGGTAGGTCCCCACGGCCTGGGAGGCGGGGCTGGAACTCCTCCGTTTGCAGCACAGAGAGGCTGCCCGGGAGCCCGCGGGGCACACCTGGCTGGCATGGCCCCTCAGGGAGACCCACAGACGATGCCTGAGTGCCACTCGCCACCCACATCCACGGGCGCATGGCGTTAAGAGAATAGACCTCACATTGGTTCCAGCAGAAAGCTGACGGATGTTCTACTGAGACCCGCCCCTAAGCCCCCCAAACCCGGCCTTCAAACCCCCAAACAGAAGCCTAGCTCGGGCTCTGCCCCAGGAGCAGGCCTGCACCCCCACACCCCTCCCCCACAGGCTGCACCTCCTAACCTCTGAGGGACCCCACGAGGCTGTCACAGGGCAGCAATGGGCTCACCCCAACCCTGTACCCGAGGGTCTGCGGTGGGAGAGGAGAGCAATAGCGGCTGACGCTGGTCCTGCGCGTCCCTCCCGGGGTCCCTTCTCAGCCATCGTCCCCCTGAGCTCCATAGGCAGGGACGCCCCCAGGCCGGCTTCGCAGCGAGGAGGAAGCTCAGAGCGTGCGCGGCACCTCTCCTGCCCCAAGCCCCCGGGCCCACCATCCTCCCCCGCGACCCTCTGACCACCATCACTCCGTCCTGGGCACTGAGCTGGCCAGGTGGCTCTCCCTGCCTCAGTCTCCCCTCTTTACATGGAGGGCAGCCACCTCTGTGAGGAGCATGTGGGGTGAGGAATGCTCGCAGGCATGACGAAGGGTGTCACCCCCGTTCTCCGAGGGGAGGGCTGACCCCCAGGAGGTCTGACTGTCCCTGGAGGCCTGG